CCTGGTGATCCCGCCATGAAGGTCTTTGTTGAGCCACTTCCTGTTACAGGGTGACAACACTCTACTCTGTCTCCCAATTGTCCCCTGTGTTGTCACCCTGGCACAGGGTCTTCTGATGAAGGCCACACATGCACATTTCAGCACACATCCCACGGACTGAGGAATGTTGACCGAGAACACAACTCTGACTGAGAAGCTGGATGACTTTCCAAGACTCGTCAGAACACTGGAACCCATCGCACCCCATGTGCACACAATGACAGCTCCAGCTTATCAGATCGGCGACTGCGACTGTTACACAGATGGCCAGGCTTGGCCCAAGAGGACCTGTCATCTGATCTGAGAGGCGGTTAGAAATTGTAGCAGAGATGATTAAAGTGTATCTAAACCCAACAATTAAAAAAGAATATTTTGACGCCTACCAATCCTTATGCAGGCTATAGACGGGTCAAAAACCGGCCGTTTTTTTTTTTTTAAAAATGAAAAAAATCGGTCATTCAATAGGCCGAGGTTACCACCAACGGTAAAAAAATCCGCCGATTTTCGTCCCGTCTACGGCCGGCATTTTTACTTCTGTCCCGGCAGAGAGCTCCGCTATTATATTTTACATTAAAAAGTCTTGCGGTTGCAACATTGTATCTATTTGTATCCATTTCAGATACAGATGGTTTTATTCGGATACAAATAGATACATTCTTCCAACCGCAAGACTTTTCATATAAAAATATAATAGCGGACTGGAATTCTTCTTCTTTTCCTCCTTCTACTTCTTCTTCTTCTACTTCTTCTTTTCCTTCTTCTTCTTTTTTCTTTTCTTATTTTCTTCTTCTTCTTTTCCTTCTTCTTCTGCTTGTTTTCCTTCTTCTTCTTTTTTTCCTTCTTCTTCCTCTTTTTCTTCTTGCAGGTCACGGCTCATGCGCAGATTTTTTATCGGTAAAACGATCGTCCGATTTGCCCATCATTGCCGGGAAAATTGGCCGATCGTCAAAATCAGCTGCGAATTTTCCAACTTGGCCGATAAAAAAAATGTGCCAAAACCCCCAAAAAAGGCCGACCAATTAACCCACTAACGGTGCAAAAATCGGCCGTTTTTTTTTTCTGCCGAAAAATTGGCCAATTTTCGAGCCGTCTATGGCCTGCATTAGAGGTGGCAGCTGGATTTGTTTTCTTTTTTTTTTTAAGCTAAGAAAATTTTCATCAAGTACAGAAAATACTGATCCTGCCAGAAATGCAGTGTCCTTGTCACTTCCTGTGAGATGAAAGGGCCAATATCCTTTCTTGTGCAAACTACTCATCCCATCAGACCGCCATGTAATAGAGATGAATAGTGATGGGCTGAACACATCCCCCCTGTACAGTTTGTGGTCGAACATTTGAACCTGATGAAAGAACGATCCCTCACAGCTACTAAAATACTGCATTTCTATTATTAAGGCTGGCTGGCCATACATGGGTCGATTTTCGAACGATTTTTTGTTTGAAAATCAGACCTAAGAATAATCGCCCGATTTTTGCTCTGTTAGTGGGGCAACGGCACCGGCTGATTTTCGTGGTTTCTCCCCATTTCGTTTATTGGGCATGCTGGAAAATTCAGGAAAAACGACCGATCGTAGAAATTATTGGTGGCACCGTCAGATTACAGAATGAACTAACTGTCTTTGATTTTTGATCGTTCGGAATTCGACCCATGCGGTCATGCAGTATTTTAGTAGTGAAGACATTATTGTTTCAGCTGTCAGTGGGGTTCCCCGCTAACAACTGAATGTAAAAAGAATTGCCGGCAAATTTTTAAAAAAATGGCGTGGGTCCCCCCCCCCCTTCCATCCATACCAAGCCCTTCGGATCTGGTATGGATTTGGAGGGGAACCCCCCCCCCCATGCCAATTTTTTTTTCAATGGCGTGGGTGTCCCCCCCAAAATCCATACCAGACCCTTATCCTAGCATGCAGCTCAGCAGGTCAGGAAAGGAGGGGGCAGGGGCGGACTGACCATTTGGAAACTCGGGCACTGCCTGAGGGCCTGAAGTCAGTAGAGGGTCCCATGAGATGCCCCTGGTACCTTTTCATAGGCTTTTTTGGGTGTGGTTTGATTATGGGCGAGGACACAGGGGCCCCATGATCCCCTATTGCCCGGGGGCCCCCATGTGTTGTCAGTCCGCCCCTGGGGGGGGGGGTGAGCCATACTAGGCCACATGCCCTCAACATGGAGGGGGGCTCCTTCCAAGCACCCCCCTATATTGATGGAGACAATGGCCTCTTCCCACAATCATGGCCTGTAGTTGCGGGGGTCTGCATGTGGACGGCTTATTTTAATCTGGACATCCTCTTTAACAAGGGGGCCCCCAGATCCCGCCCCCCTCCCATGTGAAGGAGTATGGGGTACATGGGACCGCTACCCATTCACAAAAAAAAAATGTGTAGTGCAAAAAATGACAGAAGTCTTTGACAAGTCCTTTATTAAACCCCTCGCCTACCGGGTACTTTCACCCCCTTCCTGCCCAGGACAATTTTCAGCTTTCAGCGCTGTTGCACTTTGAATGACTATTGCGCGGTCATGCAACATTGTACCCAAATTACATTTTTAGCATTTTTTTTTCACACAACTAGAGCTTTCTTTTGGTGGTATTTATTCCCCAATGGGATTTTTTGCGCTATAAAACAAAAAAAAGGGCAAACATTTTGAAAAAAAAAAATAGTTTTTCTGTGTTTCTACTATAAAATTTTGCAAACAGGTAATTTTACTTCTTCACTGATGTGCATTGATGAGGCTGCTCTGATAGGCAGCACTGATGGCACTGATGAGGTGGCACTGATGAGGTGGCATGGATAGGCAGCACTCATGGGCACTGATAGGCAGCGCTGATGGGCACTGATAGGCAGCACTGATGGGCACTGATAGGCACTGATGAGGTGGCATGATAGGCAGCGCTGATGGGCACTGATAGGCTGCACTGAGGAGGTGGCACTGGTGAGCATTGATGAGAAGGCACTGATGCTGCTAAACTGATATGCAGCAATGATGGGCACTGATAGGCGGCACTAATGGGCACTGACTGACAGCATTGATTGATAGCACTGTTGGATGGCAATGATGGGCGGCACTGTTGGGCACTGGTGGGAGGCACTGATGGGCACTGGTGGAAGGCACTGCTGGCACTGATGGGAGGCACTGATGGGCACTGATGGGAGGCATTGCTGGGCACTGGTGGGGCAGGTGGGGCCCTGCTGGGCACTGGTGGAAGGCACTGCTGGGCACTGATGGGATGCACTGCTGGGCACTGATGGGAGGCCCTGCTGGGCACTGATGGGCAGCACTGCTGGGCACTGCTGGGAGGCACTGCTGGGCAGCACTGATGGTCACTGGTTGGTGGCACTGATGGGCAGCACTGATCATCAGTGTCCTGATGATCAGTGCAGATGTCTTCTGTGACAGCTGCCGGATATCGGCAGTACTTTCCTTATGCAGTGACAGTGTGAGGAAAGTGCTGCCAACTGTCATTGGACACAGCTGATCACGTGGTAAAAGGCCTCTGTGATTGGCCTTTTACTTGTAGGACAAAGCGCTCACTGACAGCGCCGGGTGCATGCCGATGGGGGCGCTGGTAAAAAAAAAAAATGGAACACAGCCTGAAAAAAACAAACAAATGCAGCCCCCACTGTCTAAATGCTGGAGTCCCCCTATAACCACGTGCAAGCTCTGGGATTTGGAAGGAGGAAAGGGAGGATGGAAAGGCTGAAATGGATTATTGGCAAGGGAACGGCCAAAATACAGGTTCTCTTAAAACAATACAAAAAAAAAAACTTTCCCACCAAATGGCATTTCCTATTAGAAAGTTGCTGCCCTGCAGAAAGTTTGGGGGTCTTCTGACCCCTGTGATAAAAGCGCCATCTGCTGGCATAAAAAATATCTACGTGACAAAGCTAGGATTCTACAAAACCCGCACGACGGCCTGCGTGCTGCCAACACCTTCCTCAATTAAAGCCCAACTCCAGGAAATCTTAAAAAAACTATCCCTTACCTTGGGCCTGCGCCTCCACTGCCAGGGTTAAATGCTCATTTAGGTCTAGGGGAAAAAGAAATCTATTTTTCCAATTTGTTTGCACTGCAAGACCGGTCCCCGCAGCGGCTTCTTTCCCATGCTCTAGTGGTCTAAAGTTCCGACATCGTCAAGATCAATGCAGGGTCCATAGCCCCGCACTGGATGTGATGGTACTGGAGTAGCATCTGCTGGGAGAGTGCTTTTACTCTCTGTCAGACGGAACGAGCAGTCAGCTCCGTCAATGCAGGCGCAGCCTCACTGCAGGGGAGGATCAGGGGCGGACTGACCATTGGGGAACTCGGGCACCGCCCAAGGGCCCAGGGTCAGTAAGGGGCCCCATGAGATGTCCCTGGTACCTTTCATAGGCTTTTTTGGGTGTGGCTTGAGTGTGGGAGAGGACACAGGGGCCCCATGATCCCCTATTGCCCAGGGGGCCCCATGAGTTGTCAGTCCACCCCTGGGGAGGATTGTCATTTTTTCCAGAGTTGGGCTTTAAAGCTGATCTGCAGCCTTCCCTTCCGCCTTGAACAGTACACTTTCTAAGTTCCAACTTTTCCATTTTAATCACGCACCCTATTTTAGACCCAGTGATGTCATCACCGGGCCTCTGTGCTTCTCTATGCAATGCAAGCAGATCATGGCTGGTGGGAAGGGCCAGAAGGGTGCTATCCATAGCTTCCTGAAAAACTGATTTTGGGGGGAACCCTCCCACAGCAATTTTTTTTAATGGCATGGGGATCCCCCCCAAAATCCATACCAGACCCTTATCTGAGCATGCAGCACTGCAGGTCAGGAAAGGGGTGGGGTGAGGAAGCACCCCCCTCCCCTCCTAAACCATACCAGGCTACATGCCCTCAACATGGGGGGCTCCCCCCCAAAGAACCTGGGCCCTATGCTGATGGGGACAAGGGTCTCTTCCCCACAAACATGGCCGGTGGTTGTGGGGATCTGCAGGCGGGGGCTTATTGGAATCTGAAAGTCTCCTTTCACAAGGGCAAGACTGGAGGGGAGGAGCCAGTACACTTGTGCAAGACTGGAGGGGTGGAGTCGGAAACACCTGTGCAAGAGTGGAGGGGAGGAGCAGGTACACCTGTGCAAGACTGGAGGGGAGGAGCCGGTACACCTGTGCAAGACTGGAGGGGAGGAGCAGGTACACCTTTGCAAGGCTGAAAGGGAGGAGCCAGTACACCTGTGCAAGACTGAAGGGAGGAGCCAGTACACCTGTGCAAGGCCGAGGGGAGGAGCCGATACACCTGTGCAAGGCTGGAGGGGAGGAGCCGGTACACCTGTGCAAGGCTGGAGGGGAGGAGCCGGTACACCTGTGCAAGGCCGGAGGGGAGGAGCTGGTACACCTGTGCAAGGCTGGAGGGGAGGAGCCGGTACACCTGTGCAAGGCCTGAGGGGAGGAGCTGGTACACCTGTGCAAGACTGAAGGGGAGGAGCAGGTACACCTGTGCAAGACCGGAGGGGAGGAGCAGGTACACCTGTGCAAGACTGGAGGGGAGGAGCCCATACACCTGTGCAAGGCTGGAGGGGAGGAGCTGGTACACCTGTGCAAGGCTGGAGGGGAGGAGCTGGTACACCTGTGCAAGGTCGGAGGGGAGGAGCAGGTACACCTGTGCAAGGCTGGAGGGGAGGAGCCGGTACACCTGTGCAAGGCTGGAGGGGAGGAGCCAGTACACCTGTGCAAGACTGGAGGGGAGGAGCCAGTACACCTGTACAAGGCTGGAAGGGAGGAGATGGTACACCTGTGCAAGACTGGAGGGGAGGAGATGGTACACCTGTGCAAGACTGGAGGGGAGGAGTTGGTACACCTGTGCAAGACTGGAGGGGGAGGAGCCGGTACGCCTGTGCAAGACTGGAGGGGAGGAGCCAGTACACCTGTGCAAGACGGAAGGGGAGGAGCCGGTACACCTGTGCAAGACTGGAGGGGAGGAGCCGGTACACCTGTGCAAGACTGGAGGGGAGGAGCCGGTACACCTGTGCAAAGCCGGAGGTCAGCTTTAAAACTGTAGCAGCCTCCCCCCCAGCTGATGAAAAATATTATTCTATTGGCTGCTCCTGTAGAGGATGACACACTGGAACGCACGTACGTGTCCTTTAAGTCGTGGGAAGGCGTAACCTCTCTGAAGGATCGGCCGCAGCGTCTACTTCCAGAATGACGGAGAGGATCGGCGATGTTGAGCGGTAATTGCGCTCCCGGTAATTGCAGACAAATGAAACGTCGGGGACACTCCGGGGCTCCAGCAGTCAGCCGGCAATTTAGCAATTAAACTATCTGCACAAAGGAACGATTGGATGGAGCTGAACCGCCGAGCCGACATGTCACCAACACACTGCATTTGCTGCACAATATTCATTCGTGAAAGGGGTGCAGGAGAAGGAAAGTGACACGAAACTCCGGTTTAAAAAAAAAAAAAAAAATTATTCCAGTCTGTAGTCTTCATTTTTTAAAAGTCCCTCCTATGGTTATCGTACTCCTCCTAATTCTACTGCTCATGCCAAACAAATGGAAGTGAGGGTGAAAAGGAGAGGATCGGGAGCTCACATTGGACATGGCAACGAGGCAAAAAAAACAACAGGAAACGACTTCATGAAAAATAGATTACAGGGCCATGAAGTAGTGGATGTGTATGTGTATGGATGTATGTGTATGGGGATGTATGTGTATGGATGTATGTGTATGGATGTGTATGGATGTATGTATGTATGTGTATGTGTATGGAGGTATGTGTATGGATGTATGTGTATGGAGGTATGTGTATGGATGTATGTGTATGTGTATGGATGTATGTGTATGGATGTATGTGTATGGATGTATGGATGGATGTATGTGTATGTGTATGGATGTATGTGTATGTGTATGGATGTATGTGTATGGATGTATGTGTATGGATGTATGTGTATGGATGTATGTGTATGTGTATGGATGTATGTGTATGTATGTATGTGTATGTGTATGGAGGTATGTGTATGGATGTATGTGTATGTGTATGGATGTATGTGTATGGATGTATGTGTATGTGTATGGATGTATGTGTATGGATGTATGTGTATGTATGTATGTGTATGTGTATGTGTATGGTATGTGTATGGATGTATGTGTATGTGTATGGATGTATGTGTATGGATGTATGTGTATGTGTATGTGTATGGATGTATGTGTATGGATGTATATGTATGTGTATGGATGTATGTGTATGTGTATGGATGTATGTGTATGTGTATGGATGTATGTGTATAAGTATGGATGTATGTGTATGTATGTATGTATGTATGTATGTATGTGTATGGATGTATGTGTATGGATGTATGTGTATGGGGGGTGGACTGACAACTCATGGCCCCCAGGCAATAGGGGATCATGGGGCCCCTATGTCCTTGCCCACACTCAAACCACACCCAAAAAAGCCTATGAAAGGTACCAGGGACATCTCATGGGACCCCTGCTGACCCCAGGATCTTGGGAACTGCCCGAGTTCTCGAATGGTCAGTCCGCCCCTGGTATGGATGTGTATGTATGTACACCGCTCAAAAAAATTCAAGGAAGACTTTGTAACAGAGTCTAGCATCAAGTCAATGAACCTCCTGGGATATGGATCTGGTCAGGTAAGTAGCAGAGGGGGTTGTTCATCAGTTTCAGCTGCTTTGGTGTTCATGAAATTAACAACAGGTGCACTAGATGGGCAATAATGAGATGACCCCCAAAACAGGAATGGTTTTCCAGGTGGAGGCCACTGACATTTTTCCCCTACTCATCTTTTCTGACTGTTTTTCACTCGTTTTGCATTTGGCTAGGGTCAGTGTCACTACTGGTAGCATGAGGCCATACCTGGACCCTACAGAGGTTGCACAGGCAGTCCAACTCCTCCAGGATGGCACATCAATACATGGCATTGCCAGAAGGTTTGCTGCGTCTCCCAGCACAGTCTCAAGAGCATGGAGGAGATTCCAGGAGACAGGCAGTTCCTCTAGGAGAGCTGGACAGGACCGTAGAAGGTCCTTAACCCATCAGCAGGACCGGTATCTGCACCTTTGTGCAAGGAGGGACAGGATGAGCCCTGCCAGAGCCCTACAAAATTACCTTCAGCAGGCCACTGGTGTGAATGTCTCTGACCAAACAATCAGAAACAGACTTCATGAGGGAGGCCTGAGGGCCCGACGTCCCCCCACAGCTCCTAGTGAATGAAAACATGTGCTTCTCCTACATACACCCCCTGGCCCCCAGTGCCTGAAAACATGTGCTCCTCCTACATACAACCCCTGGCCCCCAGTGCCTGAAAACATGTGCTCCTCCTACCTACACCCCTCCAGCTCCCAGTGCCTGAAAACATGTGCTCCTCCTACTTACAACCCCCCAGCTTCAAGTGCCTGTAAACATGTGCTTCTCATACCTACACCCCCCCCCCCTTGGCTCCCAGTGCCTGTAAACATGTGCTTCTCATACCTACACCCCCCCAGCTCCTGGGCTTGAAAACATGTGTCCCTCCTACCTACACCTCCCCCCCCCTTGGCTCCCAGTGCCTGAAAACATGGGCTCCTCCTAGCTACACCCCCCCCCCCAGTTCCCGGTGCCTGAAAACATGGGCTCCTCCTACCTACACCCCCCCCAGTTCCCGATGCCTGAAAACATGGGCTCCTCCTACGTACACCCCCCCCCAGCTCCCAGTGCCTGAAAACATAGGCTCCTCCTACATACCCCCCCCAGAGATCCCAGTGCCTTAAAACATGTTGGCTTCCTCCTATTCAAACCCCCCAGCTCCCAGTGCCTGAAAACATATGTGCTCCTTAGGGTCTATTTATAAAACATTTGTTGCCCGAATGTCAGAAACATCCATGCAAGCTGGCCGAAATTTCCCCCCATTTTCTAATAGATGAATTCCTATATCATCAGCTCCCTCTAGCGGTCAAAAGTCAGTAAAGTGTTCCGAAATACATAGAAGAATAAAAATACCACAATTAGGCCACTAGATGGAGCCGGAAATTCAGAATTCGGGAACATTGTGGCCAGTTTGCATGAATTTTTCTGACATCTGGGCAACAAATGTTACAAAGAAATAGTCTCCTTAGTATTACCCCAAAATATCCCTGCATACTGCATTTTGGCCAGTAGATGGAGTTGATGATATAGGAATTCATCTATTAGAAAAAAAAAATGAATTTAAGAAAGCTGTACTGCATTTTGTCCACTAGATGGAGCTGACAATATAGGAATTTATCTATTAGAAAAAATACGGGGACATTATCACCAGCTTCTTACCTTTGCCGAAACCAATGAATTTACAGCATGAAGTTTAGTAGGAACATAATACCGCCCCGCCATTTGGGTACTCGCGCACTGCCCGAAGGTCCTGGGTCAGTAGGGGGCCCCATGAGATGCCCCTGGTACCTTTCATAGGCTTTTTTGGGTGTGGTTTGCATGTGGGCGAGGACACGGGGGCCCCATGATCCCCTATTGCCTGGGGCCCCTACGCCCCGCTAATCATTTTAAAAAGATTTCCTTTATTGCTTTGATTTCATCCACGGCGTAGCTTTACATTTTGTGAATGGCTGACACCGACTGCTTTAAATTAAATACAGTTCTATATATAAATGCGATTTTCCAAGTCATGCTACACGCTAGGCACATTAATGTAAAAATCATATGGAGCTCTTATGTCTGACTGTTGCTAAATCTATCCCTTCATGTGGTTTAAATAAAAAAAAAAAGCATTTTTCTTCCAGCATGCCCGGCTGCACAGAAGCCAATTAATCTTCGATTTAATGCATATGTAAATAAAGTCATGGAGCACTCTGGCTTCGGATCAAAAGTCATTTTTTTTCACGTAGGTCTGTGCCGGGGGTCCCCCGGGGGGATCGCTCTCCCGACGTATGTATTCCTTGCTGCTCGGAGGTGAAGACCAAATCCTAGGCGATGATTAGGAAGGACTTGAATTACCCCGAGTGAGGACGCTGTGTTTTCTCAATCAAGTATTTCCTGCACTACTTTTGCCGATTTGGGGTGCGACTTCCATAGAACATCTGTGCAGTGGTGTATTTAGGTTTTGTGCTGCCCTAGGCAACACAAAAATTGGTGCCCCCCCCGCAGAAAGAGCCTGATATTGACCAAGAGCACCCCTGCCCTCCACCCAAGCCTTCCACCATCACTGCCCCCCCATACACCAGCCACCATCCCCCATGGCGAGAGAGAGAAAGACACTCACCTTCACAGCTCCGGACATCCCCGGGAACGAGAGTCGGGCTGTGCATAAACCGTCATGAAACCCACAGCATCTCGCGGAACCCACCAGGTCCCCATGCCGCGTGTCCCTTCTTCCATCCCTTCTTCCAATGTGCAGTGCTGCCCCCCCTGAAAAATGCCGCCCTAGGCAAATGCCTTGTTTGCCTTGTGGTAAATATACCCCTGCATCTGTGCATGAAGTCGCACAGATGTCTATCAAGTCGCACAGATGTCATCAAGTCGCACAGATGTCTATCAAGTCGCACAGATGTCTATCAAGTCGCACCCCAAATTGCACCCCAAGTCACACCCCAAGTCACACTGCCATCCAACCTTTAAATTGTTTCACTTTCACACAAACCAATTAATATACACTTGTTAGGATTTTTTTTTTTCTTTTTTACCAAAGACACGTAGCAGAATACATTTTGGTTTAAATTTATGAAGAAATTTTAAAAAAATGAACGTCGATTTGACTTGTCTAACCATTAGAAAGCTGAACATTCCTAAAATGAAAACATTTCTATCAAAATTCTACCAGTGTATGGCCAGCTTTAGGCTAGGTTGACACCTATGCAGCAGCCATTTCTGCATTGCGTTTTGGATGCTTTTTTGCCGCATTTATTATGCGTTTTTCTGTTTTTTTTAATCTTTTCTTCTTGTTGCTAGTCAGACAAAGAGCAAAATGCATAAAAAATGCATCAAAAAACACGTCAAAAACGCACTACATGCTTCTCTGCACCATTTCCGTTGAAGTCTATAGAACAAAAAAAG